GAAGCCCTCCTGTTCTCCAATCATTACCTGTATTAACTGCACCTGTTTGAACTCGTTACCTGTATAAAAGACACCTGTCCACACACTCAATCAAACAGACTCCAACCTCTCCACAATGGCCAAGACCAGAGCGCTGTGTAAGGACATCAGGGATCAAATTGTAGACCTGCACAAGGCTGGGATGGGCTACAGGACAATAGGCAAGCAGCTTGGTGAGAAGCCAACAACTGTTGGCGCAATTATTAGAAAATTGAAGAAGTTCAAGATGACGGTCAATCACCCTCGGTCTGGGGCTCCATGCAAGATCTCACCTTGTGGGGCATCAATGATCATGAGGAAGGTGAGGGATCAGCCCAGAACTACACGGCAAGGACCTGGTCAATGACCTGAAGAGAGCTGGGACCACAGTCTCAAAGAAAACCATTAGTAACACACTACGCCGTCATGGATTAAAATCCTGCAGCGCACGCAAGGTCCCCCTGCTCAAGCCAGCGCATGTCCAGGCCCGTCTGAAGTTTGCCAATGACCATCTGGATGATCCAGAGGAGGAATGGGAGAAGGTCATGTGGTCTGATGAGACAAAAATAGAGCTTTTTGGTCTAAACTCCACTCTCCGTGTTTGCAGGAAGAAGAAGGATGAGTACAACCCCAAGAACACCATCCCAACCGTGAAACATGGAGGTGGAAACATCATTCTTTGGGGATGCTTTTCTGCAAAGGGGACAGGACGACTGCACCGTATTGAGGGGAGGATGGATGGGGCCATGTATCGCGAGATCTTGGCCAACAACCTCCTTCCCTCAGTAAGAGCATTGAAGATGGGTCGTGGCTGGGTCTTCCAGCATGACAACGACCCGAAACACACAGCCAGGGCAACTAAGGAGTGGCTCCGTAAGAAGCATATCAAGGCCCTGGAGTGGCCTAGCCAGTCTCCAGACCTGAACCCAATAGAAAATCTTTGGAGGGAGCTGAAAGTCCGTATTGCCCAGCGACAGCCCCGAAACCTGAAGGATCTGGAGAAGGTCTGTATGGAGGAGTGGGCCAAAATCCCTGCTGCAGTGTGTGCAAACCTGGTCAAGACCTACAGGAAACGTATGATCTCTGTAATTGCAAACAAAGGTTTCTGTACCAAATATTAAGTTCTGCTTTTCTGATGTATCAAATACTTATGTCATGCAATAAAATGCAAATTAATTACTTAAAAATCATACAATGTGATTTTCTGGATTTTTGTTTTAGATTCTGTCTCTCACAGTTGAAGTGTACCTATGATAAAAATTACAGACCTCTACATGCTTTGTAAGTAGGAAAACCTGCAAAATCGGCAGTGTATCAAATACTTGTTCTCCCCACTGTATATACACACATATGCATACATACATACACATATTGACTGTACATACATATATACATACATATATATATATATACAGTGGGGGAAAAAAGTATTTAGTCAGCCACCAATTGTGCAAGTTCTCCCACTTAAAAAGATGAGAGAGGCCTGTAATTTTCATCATAGGTACACGTCAACTATGACAGACAAAATGAGAAAGAAATTTCCAGAAAATCACATTGTATGATTTTTAATTAATTTATTTGCAAATTATGGTGGAAAATAAGTATTTGGTCAATAACAAAAGTTTCTCAATACTTTGTTATATACCCTTTGTTGGCAATGACACAGGTCAAACGTTTTCTGTAAGTCTTCACAAGGTTTTCACACACTGTTGCTGGTATTTTGGCCCATTCCTCCATGCAGATCTCCTCTAGAGCAGTGATGTTTTGGGGCTGTCGCTGGGCAACACAGACTTTCAACTCCCTCCAAAGATTTTCTATGGGGTTGAGATCTGGAGACTGGCTAGGCCACTCCAGGACCTTGAAATGCTTCTTACGAAGCCACTCCTTCGTTGCCCGGGCGGTGTGTTTGGGATCATTGTCATGCTGAAAGACCCAGCCACGTTTCATCTTCAATGCCCTTGCTGATGGAAGGAGGTTTTCACTCAAAATCTCACGATACATGGCCCCATTCATTCTTTCCTTTACACGGATCAGTCGTCCTGGTCCCTTTGCAGAAAAACAGCCCCAAAGCATGATGTTTCCACCCCCATGCTTCACAGTAGGTATGGTGTTCTTTGGATGCAACTCAGCATTCTTTGTCCTCCAAACACGACGAGTTGAGTTTTTACCAAAAAGTTATATTTTGGATTCATCTGACCATATGACATTCTCCCAATCCTCTTCTGGATCATCCAAATGCACTCTAGCAAACTTCAGACGGGCCTGGACATGTACTGGCTTAAGCAGGGGGACACGTCTGGCACTGCAGGATTTGAGTCCCTGGCGGCGTAGTGTGTTACTGATGGTAGGCTTTGTTACTTTGGTCCCAGCTCTCTGCAGGTCATTCACTAGGTCCCCCCGTGTGGTTCTGGGATTTTTGCTCACCGTTCTTGTGATCATTTTGACCCCACGGGGTGAGATCTTGCGTGGAGCCCCAGATCGAGGGAGATTATCAGTGGTCTTGTATGTCTTCCATTTCCTAATAATTGCTTCCACAGTTGATTTCTTCAAACCAAGCTGCTTACCTATTGCAGATTCAGTCTTCCCAGCCTGGTGCAGGTCTACAATTTTGTTTCTGGTGTCCTTTGACAGCTCTTTGGTCTTGGCCATAGTGGAGTTTGGAGTGTGACTGTTTGAGGTTGTGGACAGGTGTCTTTTATACTGATAACAAGTTCAAACAGGTGCCATTAATACAGGTAACGAGTGGAGGACAGAGGAGCCTCTTAAAGAAGAAGTTACAGGTCTGTGAGAGCCAGAAATCTTACTTGTTTGTAGGTAACCAAATACTTATTTTCCACCATAATTTGCAAATAAATTCATTAAAAATCCTACAATGTGATTTTCTGGATAAAAAAAATAAAAATTGTCTGTCATAGTTGACGTGTACCTATGATGAAAATTACAGGCCTCTCTCATCTTTTTAAGTGGGAGAACTTGCACAATTGGTGGCTGACTAAATACTTTTTTTCCCCACTGTATATATATATACAAACATCTTTTAAAAATATATTTTCCTTTATTATTTTCTACTAACCCTATCACCCCTCCTCTAATTGGAGTAAACTAATGAACAACAACACTTAGGCTTCTACTTCCAGCTTATACATACTATATACATTTTACGGACACAATCTATTTTACAATAGTTATCTTTTGTTTGTTTTTACTCATATCCTTCCGTTACTCTCAACCCCTCCAATCTATTTCTGAAGACCATCCCGTTTGATTTCTATTTGCCATATATTTTTAACTGTGCTGTTTCACAAAAGTTCTGAACCTACATACATTTTACGGACACAGTATATTTTACATTAGTTATCTTGTTGTTATTAGTCCCAGCCTTCAGCTCCACTCAACCCCTTCCATCTATCACTGAACACCATCCAGTTTTGATTTCCATTTGCCATATATTTTTCAGCTGTGATGTTTCATAAAAGTTCTGAACTTTTCTATTCTCATAGTTTCTACAGATTGTAAATTAAATATTATGATCGATTGACTATGACTTTTCAAATCACCCAGTAGTGCTATCTGCAGAGTTAACTCCAGGTAAATGTTGCAATTCTTCAGCCATTCCTGGACCTGCGACCAAAAACAAGCTACATATGGACAGTACCAAAACAAATGATGTAATGATTCTGTCTCTCCGCAGCAAAATCTGCAGAGCTCCGATGGTTGTATCCCCCATATATATATAACATTCTATTGGTTGCAAGAATTGTGTATAATAATGTAAATTGAAAAAGTTTTGAATCCGGTGTCGTTTTGCGTATCAATTCATAAACCATGTGCCATCGAATCGGTACATCGAAAATCTCTTCCCAACTATTTTGCAATCTATATGGCACAGCTTTAAATTTTTTGGTCCTTCAATGAAACTGGTATACTTTTTTATTTATCACCATTTTCTTTAACCAATTTTGGTCTTTAATGCAGGGCCGACAAATAAGTTCCTTACTTTTTCCCCCTTCCACTTGCCTCTTCCATTTTTGTGGTAATGCTGCAATTAGTTGGTTGTAATTTTGTGTAGAGCAGATATTTCCATGTATTTATGTTAGCTGCATGTGTGACATAACTCCACCAGTCATATTTATGATATAATTTACAAATATTTTTTATATCTATTTTATTTTATTATGTTTTTTAAAATCAATTAGTATATTTGAGTTTAATCACAATATTTGTTGTATTATTTGTTCTGTCTTTTCTGGTGGATTAAACTGAAATTTCAACCAACTTTCAAACAGATGTCTCTTTCCATTCATCAAATGGTGCGAGTTAGCCAGCCAACTGTAGCTCAGTTGGTAGAGCATGGCGCTTGCAACACCAGGGTTGTGGGTTCGATTCCCATGGGGGGCCAGTATTAAAAATGTATGCACTCATTAACTGTAAGTCGCTCTGGATAAGAGCGTCTGCTAAATGACTAAAATGTAAATGTAAAATGAGTGCACAGTGCAATGTTTGGATGCTGGAATTATTTTGGATGAACATGCGCATGTACCCTACTTTTTGAAGTAATTTGTTTGACAATAAGATTAATTCATCATGACTGGTAATGTTCATGCCAAATTAAAAAGTAATCTTTTATTTATTTTTACAGTTAAATGTCTTTACTATTAGGCCCATCAAATGTTTTTACAAGAACATTCTGTCTATCTGGAACCATTTTGGAGTTGTTAAAACAATTCTCAGAAGTCTTGGCGACATGCTACCAGTTGATCAATGTTGTAATACGGGCAATAAAAAGGCTACCTCTTCAGCTTCAAAATGCAATTCAAATCTCATCCTTATCCAAACAAAGAGTTGGCTTGGATGCATTCAAAAGTGCCAATTATAGGATCCAATTGGACATGCCTTAAAAAATCCATGTTCGCTCCAATTGACCAACTCAACACAACTGAAATTAACTGACCCCAACCAACAGTGCTGAAGGGTTCACATCCTCATTCAAAATAGCAGCGGCCCGTCCTCTCACCTGAATGAAACTGGGCCGTGCAGCAGAGGCCCTCCCCGCGTGTCGTCCGGTAGACAGGCGACACACACACTCTGGTGGCGGGGGGCAGGTGTGTCAGGCGCGTGGACAGTAAGTTGGGGGGCAGGTAGAAGGAGGAGCGCTGAGCGGTGGTAGAGCCGTGGCCGCCCTGTCCCTCCCAGGTGATCCAGTAGCCCCTGAGGCCGTCCACGCTGGCTTTCCAGTCCACCTGAACAGAGTCACTGCCCACCGTGGTCAGCTGCAGGTCTGCAAGAGCCGGCCTCACTGAGAAGGGAGGGAGGGAGGGAGGGAGGGATATGGGATTACCTTTTCAAAGTACGCTTTGGCAATATTTACATTGTTACATCATGCCAATAAAGCAATTGAAATTGAAATTAAATTGAGAGAGAGAGAGAGAGAGAGAGAGAGAGAGAGGTGAAGGGTAATAGTACATTTAGCATTTTCCCCTTTTAATGCTTCAGTTTAAAAACGTTGAGGCTAATCCCATACTGCATCTGTGCCTAAGAACATATCCTCAATGCTCTACGCTCCTTACCCTCCTCAGTGCACACTTTGACAGACATGGCCCTCTCCCGGCCGTAGGAGTGACGGGCGCTCACGGTGACCAGGTACTGGGTGTCTGGCTGGAGGTTGGTCAGCATGGTGGAGTTCTGCCCTAGGCCCACAGTAGCTGTGTGGAGCTTCCCCCCCGGCAGGGCTGAGTACTCCACCTGGAAGCTCTGGACAGACTCCGGCTGCAGAGGACCCCAGCTCACCCTCACACTGTTGGTCCCTGAGTCAGACACCGTCACCATGGCTGGGCTCAACACCTCTTAAGGAGACAATACGTTATATGTAATAATATAATATAAAAATATATAATATGGTGATTTACCAGGTGCTTTTGTCGAAAGTGACATAAGAATATTCGGTATACAGTGTGCCCATACTGGACACAAACCCCAAAGACACCACATCCCAACCAACTGAGCCAACATTGTTAATTGTAACAATATAAATGTTGTAAATGTCAAATGTAAACATGCTACCGCCTCTTACCTGGCTTAGTGGTGAAGGTGACGGAGCGGGGGTTGAGCACCTGCAGGTTGGACTCAGGAGTCAGTGTGGCTGTGTATGTGGTGTCTGGCTTCAGGCCCGTCAGCCTGGCCGTGCTGGAGTCCCCTGGCCGGGTGAGTCTCTGGTACTGACCACCGCTGGTACTGGGGCTGGTACCAGGCCCCTTTGCTCCTCCTCCAACCACTCCCCCACTGGGAGCCGGTCCAAACTGGATCTCATAATAACCGGTCAAACCGGCCAGAACCGGTCGCCACTGCAGCACAGCGCTGTCTGTGGACACATCTCGCACCTGGAGCCGGTCAGCCCAGAGGATCTCTGTTAGAGGAGAGACAGAACGAGACCAAAGGACTGAAACACTGGTGAAATATAAAACTCCAGTGGAGGCTGGTGTCACTTTAAATCGAAGGACATGGCTATACCGATGGCGGTATATAATTCCATTCATTCCATTCCAGCCATTACTTAAGACATCCCTCCCTTCACCAGCCCCCATTTGCCTAAATACATTTACGACCATATTATCACAGTGTGTGGATTCCTTTCTCTCACTGGTGAGCATTCATCCTTGGATAACCAGAACAAGATGGCAAAAAAGAGAGGGAGGAAAAGGATGAGAGAGAGAGGAGCTCAGACAGACAGACAGACTGTGGGTTCCCCAATGCATTCACAATGCATGCCATAAAACCCCTCGAAATAGACAACCCAGTTCTGAAGATACTTCTGTAACAAATACCAAACCCAAGAAAGGTTTCAGTGTCAGAGGATAGGAACTTCAGGCACTCGCTAGAGGGACCATGGATTCTCCTTCTGTGTCGTAAAACAACCGTATTTACACTATGCGTCTGCCCATCACTACAGTATGCATCATGTCTTAGAGCTACATATGTTTACTGGAAGTGATTGTGTCCATATGACTGCTACCCTATCTGACCAGAGAAATACCCTCTATATATATCTGGCACCGTAGAGGGGCACGGTAGGGGGGGCTGGGTGGTGGTGGGGGGGGTTGAATAATGTATTTATTAATAGCCCCCCCTCTCTCCTTACAGTCTAACATACACTGTCTCTGCGTCCCTCTATTTCTCACAGTCTCTAGGAGTGGGTATGTGATAAAGGAGTAGCATGGAGACATGCATTTGTACAGCAGCAAAGTCTAGAGTAGAGCTCAAAAGAAGGGGTCAGGTCCATGTAAATTGCAGTCAATTGAGGAATCAAATTGGACACACACAGAACCCCACACACACTCACCAATAATGGCATCCCTCAGGTCCTCGGTGATGATACTCATATCGTCGATGTCCACAAAGTACAGGTGTGACTCCACAGGCGGGGTGACCACCTGCCGCAGCACCTGGTAGTTCCCGTGGCCCGTGGAGATCACCAGAACGGCCACGCCCTCCGCTCTCAGCTCCTCCATTGGTCCAATCACATCGCCCGGCTTCACCCCGTCCGTCAGCCACACTAGAACCCTGGGTAGCTCTGCCCTGGCTCCCCCGGCCCCTCCAGGCTTCAGCACCCAGTCCTTGGCCATCCTGAGGGCCTCCTCTGTATTGGTGTTGCCCCTCAGAGGCTTGGTGTTCCCCAGTGCCCCCTGGAGGCCAGTTTGGGTATTGTGGACATCAAAGCCAAACTCAAGGCGGGGTTGGGTGCCCACCTGCAGTAGGCCCACCCTCACCTGGTCCTCGCCCAATGAGAAGGGGAGGAGGAGCTCGGACAGGAAGACCAGCATGCGGGAGTACTCATAGGACGAGACGCTGCCCGAGGAGTCCAATAGGAAGAGGACGTCGCCCTCACAGCAGTTCAACACTGAGAGGAGAGGAAAAGAGAGCGTTACAGGTGGTGGACACACATCCACTAGATTTTTACAGATATAGGGTATATATAATTATAGATACATATATATAGGCTATAGCTACAGAATATAATGCTAATATTATGCGAAAATTAATAACTGAATAAGTCATAGCATACTGTTGAGAATTAAATACTCCCAGAGTTTAGCAATATTTACACCAAATGTGGGTCTTCACGATGGGGAAATTTCTATAAGCATAGTGCTTATAGTAGATGTGTATGTAGGAAACAGGGAAACAATGTGGTATAGTTATTAGTTTCCCCACAAACTTCCCATAGAGAAGCAAAATAAGTATTCATGATAGCCAGCCACATATTTACAGGGATAAGTACAATCCCAGAACTCACTGAGACTGTGTGGAGCATCTGTGGGAAAACCTACTTCTACTTTCAACTTTCTCTCTCTTTTCTCACTCTCTCTCTCTGATTCCTACTCCCTCCCTTAACTTTTTCCAGTGGTCCTCTTTCTGTTCAGTATGTGAGTGTGCACACGCTCACACACGCGCACGCACACACACACATACACACACACACACACAGAATCCCCCCCTTCTCACCATCCACTTCCTTGGAACAACACTGTCCCACAGTCATTCAAACCTTTATAGAAAATGCCATAAGTCTGAAAGCGGGAGAAACTGAAACAAAATGAAAGGAGAAAGAATGTGTGAAGAGGCGTGAACTGTCCGAAGAAAGGAAATGAGTAGGAAAACCAGTAATTACAGCGATAAGACCAGATCAAAACAAACAAGCCAACCTAAAATTAGGGATGAAGAAGTGAGATAGATCAGAGGAGGGGTGGGCGGATGAAGGATGGATGAAAAACGCTGTCATAACATTTAGACTAGGCAACATTTTACAAATGTTCCATATTTCATAACAGTAGCACGGAGCAGAGCTTCTCATTAAAGAGAGAGAGGGAGTAAGAAGGGGTGAGGGGGAGAGGGGGAGAACTGTAGGAGCTCCATATATTGATTCTATAAGGAGGAGGTTAGGTTGGAGGTGGGGATAGAGAGAGAGAAAGGTTAAGGGGGAAGTGTGTATTGGAATTTCCATTTGAGAGAAGAAGAGGCATGCGCGGTAGTAGACGTATACCCATATACAGAGAGAGAGATAGGGGGAGGAAGAGAGAGAGAGAGAGAGAGACGTGCCATGTTCATTTTCCAGATTTGAGTGCTTTGGAAATTCATGATTTTCTTTGGGCCCTTAGCAGTGAATTTCTTAACGCTTCAATTTGACACTCGATGTGTGGTCGCTGTACTGATAAGAGTGTAGTGTTGAAAGACGAGTGTACACTCAAGCATGCATGCACGCCACACACACACACACATCTGGACTTTGTACTCCTCCAGCTCCCTAAGTGGGAGGGGCTGCAGTTACACTGCACATATGGCCTCTAATGTTAAGCCCCAGTAAACTGTAGTTCTGTCTGTGTCTCTCTGCTTATTGTAAACCAACTGTTTGGGTCTGAACTGTCTTGTACATTAGTATTAGCTTTATTACATTTACATTTACGTCATTTAGCAGACGCTCTTATCCAGAGCGACTTACATTATTATTATTTCATACCCCCTGTGGGAATCGAACCCACAACCCTGGCGTTGCAAACTATCGAACCCACAACCCTGGCGAACCCACAACCCTGGCGTTGCTCTATCAACTGAGCTACATCCCTGCCGGCCATTCCCTCCCCTACCCTGGACGACGCTGGGCCAATTGCGCGCCGCCCCATGGGTCTCCCGGTCACGGCCGGCTACGACAGAGCCTGGATTCGAACCAGGATCTCTCGTGGCACAGCTAGCACTGCGATGCAGTGCCTTAGACCACTGCGCCACTCAGGAGACGTTACAGTGTTAGGTTTACAGTACACCCTGAACAAGCTTGACTAATACTGTATATTAGTGGCTACACACTGAATGTAAATTATGAAACCACAAAGCCTTGGTGGGCATGGGAGTAACTGACAATAACTCTTTAGACCTGCTTCACACATGCATGCATGAAAGCTCTCACACACACACACACAGAGACACTCACACAGAGCTCAGATGTGTTAGAAAAGGCCTCCTGCACAGCTCTTCTTGGTTCTAAAACATGATGTGGTTATATCACCACCAGTAGGCTATAAGTAGGATCAAAATACATCATCACAGGGGATCAAACCTGGATTATCTGTGCTTCTCTGCCAGTCTTTAGTATTAAAAGCATTTATATGTTTGAGTGAGTCGCATAGAAAGTAATTAGGCTATGTTAGTCAAAGTCTGTCTCTATAAATGGAAGTCTGTGTGATAAGTCTAATGTTCTGTCTGTCCACTGTAAACTTACACTGAGTCATAAAGACAGACCACTGACAGATAGAACTGACTCACCACCAAGTTTAGTTTTCACCCCTACAGTATATGGTTATGAGCTCTAACTACCACATTTGTGGTTGTAACAAGCATTCAGTAATTATTATGGTGTTATAATCAATTATATGTTTTAATTTACATTGCATTGACTCATAAGCATATAAATGTCACATAGTGTTAAAGTCAGGAACAGATATCAACATAAACTGAGTATACTAAACATTAGGAACGCCTTCCTAATATTTGCCCTCAGAACAGCCTCAATTCGTCGTGGGCATGGACTCTACAAGGTGTCAAAAGCGTTCCACAGGGATGATGCCCCATATTGACTTCAATGCTTCCCACAGTTGTGTCAAGTTAGCTGGATGTCCTTTGGGTGGTGGACCATTCTTGATACACAAGGGAAACAGTTGAGCATAAAAAACTTTTGTCTTGCCCATTCACCCTCTGAATGGCACAGGTCTCAATTGTCTCAAGGCTTAAAAATCCTTCTTTAACCTGTCTCCTCTCCTTCATCTACACTGATTGAAGTGGATTTAACAAGTGACATCAATAAGGGATCATAGCTTTCACCTGGATTCACCTGGTCAGTCTATGTCATGGAAAGAGCAGGTGTTCTTAATGCTTTGTATACTCCGTGTATATTACTGTCAAAGTTGTAGAAATTATATGACAGGTGATACAAGTATTGTGCCTTTAATATAATAACACCATTTGGAGATACTCTGACTTCTCCCTAGTCTCTCAGTCACCCCACCACTAGACCATCGACCACCACCTGCAATGCTCACCGGCTTCAGTTGCTGAGTTTTGACCACAGGATTTCCGAAGGAATATTCCAACCAGTATGCAAGTAAACAAAATCCGACTCTCCATCTCAAGGGTTTATTGTGATCAATTCCGGAAGAAAGAATTATGATAATATCAATAGGGCTTCCTCCAAAACCGTCGCTCCAACTGAAATGGTAATGAGCCTTACATTCAGGATACTTAGGCTATAAATTGCGGCTTGAAACTTCATATCCCAAATTCTCACTTTCACCGAGACCTTCCCGTTTTGTTTCCGCTTTTCTGAAACATTGTATTCTCGTAATATTTCCCACAGATCAAATGTTGTCTATGAGTTTATGCGCGCAAGGTATAAAGCGCGAGCATTCTAGTCGGTTCTTCGCTCTGACTCCCCTTCCAGTGTTTACTCCCTTATTTCTTAACCGTCTTTTAAGACACTTCGAATAGCAATAGGCTCAAGAGCTCTGGCCAAACGTCATTGCTCTGGAAAGGTGCCCATTTTCTCATATCTTTACATTTTATGGCAAACTTGACACTCGTGCAAAAAGTGAAGAGAGTCTAAAATGTAAAAAAACATAAGGAAGAATTTAAACGTTCAGCTTTTAAATTAATTTCAGTTAATTATGGAGCCTTATCTGAGGACCACTGACTTTCAGCACTAAAATCCTTGGAATGAGAGTGCCTTTTCAAGATCATAGGCCCAGGAATGGTTATGTGGTAGGCCCAGGAATGGTTATGTGGTATTTCGCACAAATGCCAGATGGGCTGGTCCATTTTAAGACCAGTGGGCCTGTCTAACTTGGGTGTTTTGCACCAAATCATCATTATCTGGTGAATAATGGGGGCCTCGACATCATTAGTTCAACTTCTTTTTATTTACATTTGGCTGAGTTATCAACTAACATGAATTCAATGTGAAATCAACTTTCCATGTTGATTCAACATCATCACATCACATTTCATTTTATTGTTGTTGAAGTGACGTGGAAACAACGTTGATTCAACCAGTTTTTGCCCAGTGGGCTATGTGCATGTTTAGTTAAATGTGAGACTATAAGTAAATATTGTACTCCTTTTTATAAATATAGAATTACCGTATGCTGACAAACTGTCAGGTGACTGGCAATCTGTTTACTGACAGAGGGACAAAATAATGGGGTCAAGCTCTTGGACTTCAGCATCAACTTTGCTCAAATTGGCAAAATAGATGTGAAATATTATTTTTGATTGAATTGCATCAGCCTATAGTGCCTCGGGAGATTTGGAGAATGTGATATTGAGATGGTGTCTATTTGAGAGTGAAAAGCAATGTGCTTATGAGAGAGAGAGATAGAGAGACCGAGAGAGAGAGAGAGAGGAGAGAGAGGACCGAGAGAGAGAGAAAGAGAGAGAGAGAGAGAGAGAGAGAGAGAGAGAGAGAGAGAAGACGAGGAGAGAGAGAAAGAGAGCGAGAGAGAGAGAGAGAGAGAGAGAGATAGAGAGAGAGAGAAGGAGATAGAGAGATATACATGAGAGAGACAGAGAGAATAGAGAGGAGGAGAGTACAGAGTAGAGATTACAGAGATAGAAGAGAGTAGATATATATAGAGATAGATAGATAGAGAATAAGAGATAGACGATATAGAGTGATAGATAGATATAGAATATTATTCAGGATCTCTAGACTGAGAGGAGGTAGATACGATACTATATCTATATATATAATCTCTAAATTTGCTCAGCTCCTCATCTTACTCTCATCTCTAGTCTCTCTCTCTCCTTGATTTCCTCTTTTATCCCCTCCTTTTCTCCTCCTCCCATTGGAATTAAGAGAAGGGACAAAGGTCTGATGTCTGGAGACCTCGGTGACACATCACATGAGCTAAGCTTATTTCTATTGTTCCATTGTAACAGAACACCCCATCACACACCTAGTAACTAAACACTGAGTCTATACAAACCAGTGAAAGATAGGCACTGTTCTATGAAAGATAAGTAGTTGACCATTTATATGTATATTCCATTCCCAATTATAAATGGAGATGGAACATACATTTCTCTTGTATTGAGTGGCTGTTTTGAATCTTGTTTCCCACACACTAAACTTGCCTTTACATACAACCCCCTCTGCCCCCCTCAGTCTGGTCACTGACCCCACTGTATAGTACCCTGTTTATGTCTGCAGATGGGAGTCCTGCTCTTTCAACTGTCCAATAAGCAGTACATCAGTTAGAAATACCCACCTGGAATAACTTTGCAGTGGTATGTGTGTACTGTATGTATGTGTGTGTGTGTGTGTGTGTGTGTGTGTGTGTGTGTGTGTGTGTGTGTGTGTGTGTGTGTGTGTGTGTGTGTGTGTGTGTGTGTGTGTGTGTGTGTGTGTGTGTGTGTGTGTGTGTGTGTGTGTGTGTGTGTGTGTGTGTGTGTGTGTGTGTGTGTGTGTGTGTGTGTGTGTGTGTGTGTGTGTGTGTGCGTGCGTGCATGCATGCATGCATGCGTGCGTGTATATTCATGGTATGCAGGTTTTAACTGACGGATCTGGTAAGTGGCCCGGCTGTATGCAATCCACATAACATGTTGTTACTGGAGGACCAGAGCAAAGGAAATGTTTTTAATCTCACACGCATTCATGTCAACACATTTCTATCCTCTCAATATGTATAGGTTATGCAACCAAAGTGGTTGTCTTTGTTCACTTATTTGCACATTCCCTATAAAGAGTAGTAAGCTCCTCTGAGATTCATGTGTCTTTGTAGTACAGTTTCATTGAAAGCGATTGGGCAAAGCTGCAAAGAGAGGTTAGTTGACCATTTTTGGCAGTGGACAAGGCAATGGGAATAAGGGGGGAATGGAAGTGAAAGAGTAAGGGAGGTGGAAGATGGACAGATGGATGACGAGTCCCATATGACACAGCCATCGCCCAATCCTCACAGTGTGACAACATGGAAACACAGAGAAACAGCATCACGTGAGAGGAGAGATCTATTTTGTTGAATTCTGAACACTTTAAGTTTATACAACTGAGCACCATTTGTAATTGGGTTTTATGCAGTCTCTTGACACTTTGGCACAAAGTAGCGCTCCCACTGTTATTTAACATTAAAACTTTGGCCCCAGTGCTTCTGGCATCACAATGGAAATCCCATTTCATTAGTAAAGACAGTTCTCTACTTCACTCCTTGCCAGTTTTTTCCCCCTTCTATGGAGAGTTTGAGAAATTGGAGGTTTATGTAGCATGCCATGTTTTGATAGAGTTGTGAGAATTAAGAGGTGGAGTATACTATATTTGACTTGGACACAAGACATAACTAAAAGTATAAATAAGTCAGGAGGGGGAAGTCAGAGGGGTTTCCCATCACTGGGCCGTGTTGAAGTTCTTAATTGCCAAAAATGCCCAGCGTCTTCCTGGCACACTCTGACCCTTCTGTTCCTGCGTCACTAGATCTTCCTGCTCATGGTGTCTGCATCCTGCGCATTGCTCATCATGAAAGCTTTGTTGCAAGGTCTGTTTGTGAAGTCCTGATTGTTTTTTATACAGTTTCCTGTCTGCTCTCAGGGTGATGGTGGGCTACTGGTCCAAAGGGTAACAGAGGAATTGCCAAAAGTTCACATTTGAAAAAATTAACATGTGACAATCCATTTGCTGTTGTATATGTAAGAAAACTCTGCATGTGTAAATCTCACTTTCACATGAAAAATTGCAAGTTTACATGTGAAAAATAATCACGTGAAAATCACATTTGCAGTTTCACATGTAAGAAAACTCCACATGTTTAAATCTCACTGTCACATGTAGAATTTCAAGTTCACATTTGAAAAAATTAACATGTGACAATCCATTTGTTGTTGTATATGTAAGAAAACTCTGCATGTGTAAATCTCACTTTCACATGTAGAATTGCAAGTTCACATGTGAAAAAATAATCACATGTGAAAATCACATTTGCAGTTTCACATGTAAGAAAACTCCACATGTTTAAATCTCACTGTCACATGTAGAATTTCAAGTTCACATGTGAAAATCACACATTCGGCGTTCCAATTCATCCCAAAGGTGCTCGATGGGGTTGAGGTGTGGCTGATATACAAAAGTATGTGGACACCCCTTGAAATTAGTGGATTCGGCTATTTCAGCCACATCTCAACCTCATCGAACACCTTGCCATGTCTAATCGCCCAACATCAGCTCCCGACCCCACTAATGCTCTTGTGGCTGAATGGAAGCAAATCCCAGCAGCAATGTTCCAACATCTAGTGGAAAGCCTTTCCAGAAGAGTGGAGGCTGTTATAGCAGCAAAGGGGGGACTAACTCCATATTAATGCCCATGATTTTGGAATGAGATGTTCGACGAGCAGGTGTCCACATACTTTTGGTCATGGAGTGTATGTGGATTTTTGACATACTTTTTTTCACATGTTTATTTGTCATTTTTCACATGACTCAGACATGTGGTTTCCCTACCTTTCACATGTGATATTCTAAGTTTCGCATGTGTATCTTTGTAACCGGTGGGATTAGAACCCAGGTCTCAGCCAATGTCTGGACCACAAGACCAAGAGGGTTTTCTTCTTATTTATTATCAATTTCTCTAAATCTCAGAATATTGACTGTTCCATTCAAAATAGGTATGTCAAACGTTTAAAAATGTAATCGAGTTAATCGCAGGATCACAAATCCGAAAATCACAAATTCAGAATCACGATTAATCACAAATTCAGAATTTAAGTAATAATTGAATTTAAGATATTTTATGTAAAAAGCATTACAAGAATATTGACATCTTGATTTTGTTAGCAAAATCAGGTAAATTGATAAAGCACACCTTCTTTAACCTCAATGTCAACTTGTTTTGACATTGTATTTTTAGCTGTATAGATTATGTATTTTTGATGTTCTTTGTGTATTTGGAATGGTTTCAGACAATACAATAATCAAGACTTGAGTGCACAACAATGTACATGAGTTAACTGATTAACTCTGACAGCCCTAATTCAAAATCATCTCTTTGTGGAAAAGTATCTGTTAACATTAATTCCTAAAGCAAACACATTCACACATTTTCTAATTCCTTAAAATCCCTTTTAGGCCTGTGTATTAAATGTAACAA